GGATGTCAGAGCCAGCTTACGCACACCTCAACTAATCTCCCCCTTAATCCAGTCTCAACTAATTTCTCTGGTCCGGTCAAAGACAGACCAACCACACCGAAATTAAGGTATTCATAAAGAGTAATCCATCATAGTCTAGTTTCAAGAAATTGCTAAGATTTAAATTCAGAACGTCTGAATTTATAATTTATCTTTGTTATTACTTGAACTACACTTTGAAATTAAACATAATAGGTCTTGATACCAAAAGATATGAATTGCTTGTGTGAAATCTATCATTAAAAATCGAAGTGAACGTGACAAATATCTAAAAACATATACATAGAGTTAAACTCATACATGATCAATATTGGACACTCAATCATAACACAAATATGTATGATAATCTAATAAAATAAAGTTTGTGCATCAAATTTCTTATTTTAAATAATGTAACATGTTGCGAGCATTGGATGTTTGGTAGTGTTGATCCCAAAAGCTACACCACTGGAGTGGGAGATGATTTGACAATCGACAATAGATTTTTACTAAGAAAGTTGAATATTGGATGAATTTCTGTAATCTACCTTTTAATGCTAAAGCCAAAAAGGGTGTAATCGACCGAATTTTATTCAGTTGAGAGATAATTACTTACCTGGTTCATGATTAACATGATTTTTTTAAGTTGTGCAAATTGTGCCATTGGAATTTCTCAGTTGCTTTTTAAATAAAACGGCAAAAAATTATATATATATTCCCCCAAAGCGTCGCAACGTGTTTGAGCTACTTCTCTGGAATACAGGCAAGCAAGCTACTAGGTGATTGCTAGAGCTCTCTAATTATGGAGAGCTCACGTGCCAAGCTAGATACTAGGCTCAAGTGTCATGCTCCTTTGCACGTGCTTAGTTTGTGACCAATTCATGCTTATCAAGTAAAATTCCATAAAACCCATTAATCCAATAATTTTCATTTATTAGTGCAAGAAATTTAGTAAAAAAAATGGTACTTCTAATCCTATATATCGCAAAGAACCTGCTCACGAGCATTTAGCTCTTACATGGTTTCTCAATGCTGACATTTTTTATTTGGATAAAAGACAAAAGAATCTTCTAAGATGCCACGAAACTGTGGAAGTAAGGACTGCTAAGAATAGACTAATGCAAACAAAAAGAGCTAGGCTCATCATGTTAACATTATCGATCTCTGCCTTTGTCACTTAGCCAAGCACCATCAGAGGCTGATAAAAAAAAAATTCATCAGAGCACTAACTGTCTGTCAGCTGGGTGTTTTTTTTTTCTTTCCCCCGATTAGGGTGTTTAGATTAATTTATGTGTATTTTAATTAAATTTTTTTTAATTTGATCAAATATTAATCATTCATGTCGAGACTAAGAAATTTATGATAAATAAATCTTTAATGGTCTAACTTTAAAATAATTGTTAAATTTCAAATTCAATATATATATTTTAGGTTGCAGCTCATTCCTATCTCCATTGAAGTTGGCTGATCATCCACACCTAATATTAGTGAACGCCTGTCTACATGTAACAAGATATGAGTGTCCATAGATATAATAAGAAATGACAATAACATTATTTTTAGTTACAGGTGTTAATCAAGGCAAGTCTCTCGAGTTTGGCTTGTTTTTTGCTTGAGCTCAAAATATTTTTCATGGTCAGTTCAAATTAAATTTGAGTTGAGCTCGAGTAAAAAACAAGTCATTAAAAAAATTCAAATCCACAAATTTTAAATGTCTAATCAAAAAATTTTATAAAATACACACAAATCTAAATTTTAACACAAATGTGAGCTAAAATACATTTAAATCACAAAAAAAATATGCAAACTTAAAATATTTGCTAATTTTATTGAAATAACCTTACGATCTTGAATAATTATATGTATATAATGTATAAGTAAGAAAAACGAGTTAACTCGCACATAGTTTAGGCTCGATTCAAATATTAAATGAGAGCAAGTTCAAACCGAGTTGAGCCCGAGCTACACGCGAGCTGCTTGGATCGTTTGACAATCCTATTTTCAGTTGATAATTTTTATTTTATTTTTAATTCTCAAAATGTTATAAAACAATAGTTTTATTGACCTTAGAATAATTAGATGTGAGGTTAAGGTCTCTTAAGCAGCGTAAGAGATGTGCTATAAGACCCATATGACCGACACGTAATGCGCCGGTCGCGGTTCCGGGGAGCAGCAAAAACAAAGCAACATGGGTTTTAGATAGAATCTAATTAAGGAACATTGCATCTTAGCTTTGGTGTCTTTTATTACACACTGCGTTGGCATTGTTAAATTTGCATTATAAGAAATGGACAACTAACCCTTGTATATTAATATTTTACCAAAAGTTGAAAGATAACCAAAAGAACCCATCTTGATACTTGTCATTTGCAATTGATTATACACAATTACACATCAGTAAAAAATCACATGGCACACGCATTCTTGCATTCTCTTGTTTCAAAGGTCTCCCAATAACTTTAATTTTCATTGCGGTACGATAAAAAAATGAAAAGATAGAAGTTGAAAGGATGAAAAATTTGAGGGATAAAAAAAATATTATGTTTAATAAGAAAAAAAAATAAGAAGGATGAAAAAGTGGATGAATTAATTTTCTTTCCAACTCACCAAAATCGAAAAGAACATAGATGAAAAATTAATTATTTGTGTTAAAATGTATTTTATTTGTATATATATTATGTACACATTAATTTTATATAAAAATATAATGATAATATACACACGCATACATATTTAAAAATAAAAACATAAAAAAATAAAATTAAAAATTTTAAATTAAAAAAATATTTTTTTTATCTTAACTAGGAATGAAAATTTTTGATTCAATACGATGACACGATTTGAACTCGACAATAATTTTATGACACGAACTTGAAAATGACCTGATACTCGAACAAGAAATATAAAAAATTCATAATTTTATGACTCGACACGAATCTGACACTACACAACTCGATTGTCACTCCTAATATTAGAAAAAAAATTAGTCATTTTTATTTTCCATTCATTCAACCAAACACAAAGAAAGGAAAGTGTATCATTCCTACTTTTCATCCTTGAATGATAGAAACTGTATTCTTCTACTTTTAATCATTCATACCAAACAAAACATAAGAATAGTTCAAATAGTAATGAGGACGAATTGTAAATGTAGACGTTCTGAATTCAAAGCTTGACAATTCAATGTTATCAGGTTATGAAAAATTTATCTCTCATGATCACCTTAGCCTTAACGTAAATGACATCTCACTAACCAGACTGAAAAAAAAAAAAATAATTGATATACATATAAATTAGTTCAAGCACTCCAAAACCGTTGAAAAGGTATGTCTTCTGCATGACAATGGGCATAAACTATTTTGGTTATATGTTGCTTCTAGGATTCAGATGGTCCGTTTCTTTGTCCGAAAGGGCAAAGGGATCGTGGGTAAATGGACTAAATCATGTCAATGTCATCCGACAAAATTACCATTCATTACTGCAGTGGCAACAAGGCAAATTAAATTATCACAACCAGACATTTTCTAGTACATCATATGATTAGGTTTGGGGCCCTTCTCGATTTGTTCTTCTTTGACTAAGGTTATTTTATATGGAACGAATGATTATTATTCTTTCAAGGATTATGACACACTTAGGAAAATACATGAACCAACAAATCAAATAAAACCGAGGATCAAGAGTTCAAATTTAACTTGTTCGTGTGTAATATCTTATTTAAGCTTGATTTATATGTTAAATATTTCCACGGGCTTTGATGAATAAAACTATTCATTGCTCTTACTTAACCGGTTTGTTAAACGGGATTTGAAATTATTTATGAACAACCCAATTTATAATGCACATTGCACAATCCCAACTTCATGTAAAGAACCTTGAAGAGGTAGTGAATGCTAATTTCTTGGTTACCATTGTGATTTCTTATAACAATTCGAGGAAGAATAGAAGATTTGAATGGTTTCATCAAATTTGAGACACTTCCACTAGGTCAAAGGAAAATGTAGATTACAATTGTTTTCACAGCTTTCACAAGAAAATGTGATTTATCTCAGTTTTAACTTGATTGACAATTTAAATAGTAATAAGCACGAGTTATAAATTAAAACGTAATGAGTTGAATCTTAAGTTAGGTCATGAAAAATTTATTCTTTATGAATACTCTAATTCCGACATAAGTGATCTGTCTTTTACCGGATTGGAAAAAAAATTAGTCAAGGTATGCATAAGTTGATCCAAATATTCTTTATCGTTGAACAAAAAAAAAGAATATATAAATACACACTCCATCTATCTCAAGAGACATTCTGATCAAATCTCTCACTGGGATGAAGTTTTTTTTCATTACACTTTCACTTAATTTTACTTAATAGTATTTCATATCAAAAAAAAAAACTTAATAATATATTACTTGTTATTAATTTAAATAGGACTCGCTATTTATAATTAAGTCTTGCACCCATGACTCATCTCTAGTGATCAACCATTGAAAAAAATTAACTAAAAATATATTAAAAAGAATCTAAACCCCTACTTATGACCCGAAATGGAAATACTATTTAGATCAAATTTGAGGCAACCACTCAATTAAAAATGAACCGTATCTAATATTAAAATTTAAACTAATTTAATAACTATATTAAATTAAGTCCCTATAAAATTTCTCGACCCGAAATAATTCGTCTCCACTTGTGAGTGCGTGTTAAGGCAATGTCAAAGTTTGGTCAACCTCAGCTGTCATTCGACTCCCTAAATACAAATGTGTACATTTGGAACCCACCCACCATTTATTAGATCCACCACATGAAAGCTTCGTCTATGATTAAATTAATTTTGGTAGTACATGTTCGACGACCTTCCATTCATTACCCACTTAAGAGTCACTCAATCCAAATTTTGAATAAACAGGCCATATTCAAAGTCTCCAACTTTGAAGTGTTGGGACCAATTTCTAAATGTGGGGTCCTGTCATTACGGCACCATCAATGGGTTGTTATAGCCGTCTGTGCAATAATGTGAATCCACCCAATTCATATGATCTTCATAGAGGTTGGTGGCATACCCACTTGTTTTTTTTTTTTAACAGCATTGATGTATTAGTCAATTTATACACACTTTAATTAATTTCGTCTTTGATTTGGTTAAAAACAGATTATCTACACCAACTCTAAGAAGTTATCAAGATTCAAATTGAAGACGTTTACTTTTACGACTCGTTTTTATTATTACTTGAACTACTAGTTAGCATATTCACTTTTATTTGCATGAAAACCATCTCAACCAATTAAAATGGCAGAGATTTGAGAGAGTCGGCAAGTGCCTTGTTTGGAAGGGAATTTCACATATTTCTGATCAGCCCTCCATGCCCTCTATCGACTTTGCCCAAGTCACAAGTAATTGAGTAGTAGTATTGAGATTTAGTTGGGGTGGTGCTTAATGCAATGTTATTATTGGTTTTGCAGTAATTCTAATATTAATTATGACTCAACTATCAATCAGACGGAGAAGTCTTAAATAGTTACAAGTAGTATTATTGCATAAGAGGATCAAGTTCATGTGATAATAAGGACGAATTATAAATTCAGATATTATGAGTTCGAATTATGAATGTCCTAGTTTCAGCTTAGATGATTTGTCTTTGACTGAACGAGAGAAGAAATTAGTCAAAGTACACGTAAACAGGTTCAAATACCCATGTCTATTAAACTGTAAAAAAAAAAAAGGCGATTGAATGGGGATTATATATGATGAATCAATAGGCTTTTGTTAGGTTTCACTTTTCAATAATTAGGGTCATGGCTGCAGAATTTAGGCAACTCTAACTTAGTCCAACCCAAAGCATACAAACATACTGTAAATCCTTTTGTAAATGAAAGTGACTACCAAACTTGTTAGGAAGGGGTCACAATATTTTAAAAGAGGGCCTTTTGAGTGCTCTTTTTTTTTTTTTTAGTTTTGTAATGCATTGTATTATGTAGGGTTTGAATTGTGTCTTGAACCCACTAAAACCACATCAACTTTTGATACGGGAATGGCACACCGAATTAACAATAATCAACCTCGTAATAGTACTCGAGCTATGCCTTTTGGTTCTAGTGACTAAATATAGCCTGAGATCTCTTTAAATATATTTTTTAATCAATTATTTTATTGGCGGATCATCGTCCAAGCAATCATGTGAAATTCATTCCATATAAGAGGGTCCCTCCTTTATCAACGATAAATGATTTGCTATTAAAAAAAATTAAAAACAAAAAATATTAGAGAATATCTGAATCGGTGTAATATTGAGGCTTTTTGGGTTGAGTTCAATCCAGCTCGGCTGGAGTCCGTGTGTAGTGGGCTAAAGTGAGACTTCAATGATAGGGATGATGGGCTTGGATTACTTTTTTGGGCTGTTCTAATGAAGCCCAATTATTAAATATTGGGTGGATACTGGTCCGGACCAATATATACCACAAACTCTGCAGTGTAGCCCAAGAAAAGTCACTTCTTCTTCATCTCCTCTTTCAAGTTTCAAGTGTTGGACATTTAGCAAATTTTCTCAGAGCATTGCTTACGATCGTTGTCTTCTCTTTGCTACAAAAAAAAGGTATAATCTATAACCCATTTCAGTATTCTTAACTCAAACGGGACTGTAATTAGTTTCTGTAAGTGTTTGATTTGGGTTTATTGTCAACCTCTGTTGGATCTAGTCTTGTAAGCCGCTATTATTGTCCTTTGTGAAGATTAGTTTGTCAATAATCCTAGGGTTTGTCTCTCAATTCTTATGAACTAGGGCAAGTATTTTGATTTGTTCTCTGGCTTTCATTTGTTATCCCTGTGGTTGGTTGCTGAGAAATTGTTTTGAGGTAAGAAAATGACTTTTAATATTGGGACTTGTTTTATCTATCAAATGAGGCGTTTTTTCGTTTGATAACTTTTTGTTTTATCCTTGGTGTAATGATTTAAAAGTATTGTTGGGTTTTGAGAAGAATTATGTAGTTTGTGGATGAAGGAAGAAAACAAGGGCTATTACTGAATTGTTTTAGTGTTAGTTTTTTTTTTTTCCCCAGGTTATAATGATGAAGATCGACTTTAGTGGGCTGCAATCGACTGCAACATCTTGTGGCCCAAACAATGAATTGTTTGATGGGATTTCAACTGCCCCTTCATTCCAGATTCCGGGCACTACTGATGTGAGTCTTAGTTGCTTGTTTTTAATTCTGATAGTCCCATTTACTTGAGAGGAAATTAGATTAGATACGTAGTGAGACTGAGTTGTTTTGTATCCTGTTCTTCTTGTTGCAGTTTGATGGATTTCAGAAAGAAGCTATCCAAATGGTGAAGCCGGCGAAGGGAACCACCACTCTTGCTTTCATTTTTAAGGATGGTGTAATGGTCGCTGCTGATTCTCGTGCCAGCATGGGAGGCTATATCTGTATGCACTTTATGTTCTCCAACTTGGTTCCTGTTTTGATTTGTAGAAGTTATGATTGTATTTTTTCTGATTATTCGTGCAGTGGATCATTTTACTTGGTCTTTTTCTGGCATAATGCATTCTGTGACATCAAATTCATTTCATAGAGAGTTTGCGAATGTAAATTTTCCATAGAAATGGNTCTTTGTTGTTTTCTTAGTCTTTATTATTATGTTTCTTGTAAATCTCTATGAAATTGTCGGTAAAGCACCTCATTCTTTTATGTATTCTTACTCATTCTTGTTCTGTTGTATCCGTTGTTCTAATGTATCTGCTAGGTACCGGTATGACATGACAGTTGAAGAAGCGGCAGAGTTGGCTAGACGAGCTATTTATCATGCAACATTCCGAGATGGAGCCAGTGGTGGAGTTGCTAGTGGTATGCCTCTCTCTCTCTCTCTCTGTGTGTATATTTGGGCGTGTATGAGTGATTTTTCCATGAATGTCTTGTTATCAGTTTATCATGTGGGACCTGATGGATGGAAGAAGCTATCAGGCGATGATGTTGGAGAGCTTCACTACATGTATTATCCTGTTGAACCAACAGCAGTGGAACAGGAAATGATTGAAGTGTCTGGGGCCTGAGAGTGACAAAGAAATATCTGTTGTGACGTTCTTTGTAATTGCTTGTAATTGTTTTGATGCTCGGAAAGTACATAGACCGGGCTGGATTTAAGTCATTTAACTTGGTTTTTGCTGGTATCATTTTTTATCCGGTTTTGAGATTTTTAACGATCATGCTTGATATGTCATTTTCCTTATTTTTAATGTTTCCCATCTTTTTTGTTTGGACTTTGGATGCTCTGTTTCGAGCAATACTGTTTAAACTACCTTGCAGTACAACTGGGCCATTGTTGAAACGCTAGTGGCTCCCATTGATTACGCAACTTCCCATGAGATAGCCGGATATTGCTGGGCACAATGTCCCTCATAATTTACCCTATTACATAATACAAAGCATTCTATGAAATATGTTAGGACTCGTAATTTTTGATGTGTCGTACCGGATACGAAATCAACATAATTTTAATGGGCTCAGACTATTATTGAGTTTGATTGGTCTGACTCGTTTAACAGTGGGTCAATATGAATCTAGGTTTACACTACTGCTATAAAGTTCACATTACTGTATGGGTTAAAAAAAATTGACTTAAAATATGTTTTCAATATGACACAATCCATTGGCAGCAGTCCACTTGAAGTGCGTTAATTACAGTTTCTTTCAATGTCGTGTAGTGATTTAGATTTTAGGATTATTTGAAAAGGAAAATGCTATGTTCATCAATTCTTTTATCAAAATATAGATCCTTCAAAGTTATTGGATAGTTAGTGAAAGTTTGTGGGACCTTACTGATCCTAGGAATCTCATTGATTTGGGATAAAAAATTAGTAAAAGTTTTTGTGAATGTACCATTATTGATCCGAAAAAGCTTCAATTTCTCTTATAGTGAATGACAAGATATTATTCTCATACCCTAATCCTGCAATGCACTCGGATTGGATTTAGGTTGTCTCCATTATGTTTTCATTCAATGGTGAAATTGAGGGAAAGTGTAATGGACATGATCTCAATGGATCTTAAAGAGTAGGCAATTAACCGGGTTTGGCTCTTCTTCAATCACAAAATAATTAGAAGATTCTCCAAAAATGGTATACCCCAAGATTAGTTTGCCCAACTATTTGCAGGGACTATAATAATTATTTCCTGATAAAATGATTGTAACTTGTTCCCAGTGAATTGCTGGCTTTATCTCATGTCTACCATAGCAACCGAGTCGGCTAGACAATTTCTCAAGCAAGTAGAGTGCTTTGGCAAACTTAGCTTACCAGCCAATTCTCGGATTGGATCAACCATACAAAACAATGTTAAGTGCAAAATGGGACCCCATGTTACTAATGATCTAGTTGAAGAACTCTATGCTGCGTATGCTTTACAATTCCCTTAGGTACAAAGCAAAGGATTTTGTTTTCTTATATCTCACCGTATTGTTCTATTTAGGGATGTCTATGGAAGGGCTCTAATACTTGTCTCTCTTAAAATAAACGAAATGATCATTACATGCTAATATTAAACAGGCTACTATCAACTTTATATTATAATTTCCAATGAACTAATCATCATAATGATAAATTTTGGATAGTACAATAGTTGGGATATGTGTATACGACAAATATCATTTTACACCTGATTGATAGTGAAGCGTAGTGTTAAAACAGTGGCAGTCGAATTCTAATCAATCAAGGAAGGTGGCAAAGTGTGACTGGGCATACGCCGCAACCCCATGATTTCCTAGGTTTTTTTTGCCAAATAGGAGTGGTTTTTCAATGTTACTCAGTTTTTACATTGATTTTTTAACTTATTTTTTATGCAACACTATTTCAATAAATAAAAATCTCAAAAACTTTGTACGTGAGAAAAGAGAGAATAGAGTGAAAAATCACGGTAATTAAAAAATGGATCTGTGAAGAACATGAGATAATGTGCACAACACCAACACATTCATCTAAAGTGGTGGCTAAATCTGATGAAGTTTGAGCCAAAATGGTATGATTCGGCCACAGCCATGTCTTCATGTATATATGCTGGTCTCGGAGAAGTTGCCATACGTACGTGGGACCCATTAAAAATGGATATGGGATTCGGGTCAAATATATGTCTTGGCCCGCTCCTTGAAGTCATGGGATCACATGCACGTCTTAGAGACTCAGGCATAGATAAATGATCAATTAATATTTACAATCCCAATATCCAACTGCTCTGAGAGAATTCAGAAGAATACATACACAACCAAACCATTACACTAGCTGGAAATAACATGTTCTCTCTCTCTCTCTCCCGTTTTGTTAGCTTCTAAGCATGTTTACATGATTGGGAGTTTGATATACTAATCATCATGCACCTCTCCACTACACTAAGGCATGCACCTCTCCACTACGCAAAGGCACTAAGGAAATATATCATATTGTTATTATTTACTAGTCTAGGTATCTACAAAAAGGAATTGTCTATGATACAAAAAAAATTTGGTATCGTATCGATATTTCATATTTATGAGGATTTTTATTACTGTTATGGTACCGAATAAAAATAATTACAACAGTGATAAAAACACTTACAAATGTGATAAATTACCCATAAAAGTGATAGTTTTTATTGTACAAAAAAAAATTTTGATTAAAATAATTACTACCACAGTGATAAAAATAATAATATAACTGGTAAATTTTTTAATTATAAAATGACTCATAAAAATTATAAAAATATTCATTAAAAAAGTAAATTTACGAGATATAATACCAAATTTTTTTCCGATACTTGGTCAAGTCCTTACAAAAAAAGTGGTGTAAACTAGGGTTGTAAGTTCTGTATAATTTATAACTGATCTATATATTCGTATTTTTGAGTCGCATACATGAACTATAAGCACACATTATTAGAATGATTCTAGTTAGGATTGTTACTATGTGTTAATCTGTATAAGTTGGTTCAATGGGTAGATGAAAAACGAGATAAATTTGTATGATTTATAGAATTCGAATTCTAAACACCATATAAAACTCGAATTTAATTAATGTGTATGATTGGGGAATGTTTGTTTTATATCTTATGTTTGCTTCGTAACCAAAAAATCAATAAGTATTCATGATTAGAATGGTGATTTAATTTACCAAAAAAACAAAAGTAGACTTGTATTTTTGTTGAAATTCCTTGGAAAGAAGAAGAAAGCATATAGGAGGAGACAAAGTTTATATCAAAATTGTGGAAAAATGTCTATTGGAGTATCATGTCATTAGTATAAGACGGTGGTGTTGGTTACTTGAAAGGGATGGCTGTAATGAGTAACACTGTCCTTTTTTTCTCATCAACCACTCGTTTCATTCCATTAAAAAAACTAACAAGAAATGATAACAAATTATAGGGTTCTGTTCAAATTGTTTTGGTAAAGGATTTTTTAGCCACATGAATAGTCCAACCAAAGGCAATGCTTAAAGAATTATCTGCATTTGAACCCACGGTTTTCTTTTTCTTTTTGGTTAATTATAATTTAGCCCCTCTAATTATGACTCTTATTGCAACCAACTCCTTATGGTTTCAAAGGCTGTAATATACCCCCTCTTAAGTTTCAAATGGATTAAATTGATTGATAGCAGTTGTTGAACCATGAAACTACCATTACACTATTCATCTTGTTTGTTATTTCTCATTTTTTTTTTTTTGGGGGGGGGGGATATCAATTCTTTCTATAAAAAATTAAGAAAAAGTTAAGATAATAATACATCCGTTTAACCTATTAATATACTACACAACATGTTTGCCTCCACCAAATACCAACATGTGTGTATGGGCACACAGACACACACACACACACACTCTTCTAGGGGTAGATATGACTTTTCAATAAACTAAAGATCACGTAAATTTCTCATGTTTAACTTCAGTCATTTTTTATGATCTAAAATTAAATTTTGGAGTTAACTACAAAATATTCAAACTTAAAAAGGGCTATTTGTTAAAATTGAACTTGGAAAAGTAATGACAAACTACTAAAAATTGAAGGGGTCATTTTATAATTCACCATTTTTTTTGTCGGTCACTACTATTACATGGGGGTATAACGAGGTTTGAACTCGTGACATTAAAATTCAACAACAAGAACGACGATCATTAAATCAACTGCTAAACTCAACCCACGAGTTCAAACCACTGCATAGCGAAGGACTTGTATGAATAAATGCAATTTACTCTAATCAACTCGAATTCAAATGGAACTTAGTTCAAGTTCTTTTTTATTAATGTCGTAAATTTTTGTATTTATTCTGAGTTCGGGCAAAAAATTATCCTCGTTTAAATTTGAAGAATACGCGAGTTGTGTTCTGGAAGTTTTAGAACCCATCCAAACCCAACTCAATTTACTGAACTTAAGCTCAACCCTTGTTGACCTCGAATTTGGAGTTGGAGTTGTGCGAATCAATAATCAAATTCAGGTTTAATCTAAATTAAGTTCAAATTATAATTGTAATCCAAATTGAATTAGAATTAGAATTAGCATTATATAATTGTAGAATCAAACTCGAATTCAACTTGAATTGTCTAAAATTCAAATGTAACTTGGGTTCAAAATTTAATACATGAACAATAAAGGTTTAAATTGTATTTAAATTTAAGTTCAACTCGGATTGACTGATTAAACGGCTCTCTAACGGTCCAATCCTCACCTGTTCCTCTCTTGCCAAATTATAATATGATTCGTTTGAGAGAAAAAACTAAATGTCTGCACTACCCCTCTGGTCTCATAGAAAGAGACCCCTAGCTGTACTGATGAGTCTTATAATAGACAACACTCTCACTGGTCACTCCAATCCAAGTTACGAGTGGTAAGCATGTTGGGTCGATTATGTTTGTGTTGTGTTATTTACAGATTTGTATTGAGCATCGGTCAATTCAAATTCAACTCATTTAATATCGTGTCATGTTAATGACCAAAAAAATATAAATCGTGTCGTGTTGATCTGATATATTTATTTTTATGTCGTATTCTTGTTGACTCATATACATTGTAAATAAAAATTTTAATATTAAGATTTAAGTCTAATACTACATTATCTCGAAATCGAACTCACACTCATATTTTTTATTATTATAAAATCCTTTTTGGCATAAATATTTGGCATTTTATTTTTATAATATCAGTTAAGCGTGTTAATAAGTCGTGTTATTTATTATTCGTGTTAATAAGTCGTGTCATTCACAGGTTCGTATTAAAAAATGGTCAATTCTAACTCATTAATTTTGTGCCGATTTCGAGCCGTGTTTATGTATTGCATCATAAACTGTCACCCCTAATCCAAATGATTTAACTTAAATTGTGGAGTTTAGTTCAAATAATAATTTTTTTTATATTGAACAAGTAGCATAGTGCCGGTGTTCGGAATTGGATTATCTCGTCTCTTAGACTCTGTCCCCGGACCAAGAACCCTTTGTGATCGCTCATTATGAATGGTAAATTAAGAAAAATTCGGAGATCGGTCTCCATATAGACTTATTTGGAGATAAATTCGTTAAGAAAACTTATTTGGTTTTAAGTTTATTTTTTGTCAATTTTACTATTATAATCCTTCCGTGTAAAAATATTATAAATGACGTTTATGGACATAATAATCAGTCATATACATCTCCTTCATAATCACCATTAAATTCGGCTACAATCTTCTAAGCCACAATGTTTCCTTATTCGAAAAACAAGAAACCGACCTTTACCAAAAATCGTTCATATTTCAAATTTCAAACCCATTTCAATTTACTATTCTAGTTTACTTTGGATTCAATCGACAAAATATTAATATTGAATATTAATATTTAAAAAATAACAATAATAACATACTCAATAAAAACAGTAGTATGGTCACTAAAAAAATAGTATCATACTCACAAAAAAATAGTAACATGGTAAAAAAGTAATAACAATTATAGATTTAATTATGTCAAAGTGGGCATTAACCTTGTAACCAAGATTCAAAAGAATTCATACATTAGTACTAAATTAAAGTGTTATAGATTTCAATTTTGTTGATTTTTTTGTTGCGCAAAACAATTGAGTATTTTTTGATTGTGTTACTATGGAAAAAGTTCATATTACTGCACGTGAACCGAAAAATAGAATTTAGAGTTTTGATGTCTTGATGTTCACAATTGGTGTTGAGTGTCGTAATTCAACTGTCAATTATGTGTTACTATTTATCATTTTGTAAATTTTAAATTTGTGGATCGTATTTTCATTGGAATCATTCAAAAGTTGATATTACTTTAAAAAATTTATTGTTTTGTATTTTGTAAAATTAGATGTATTACTCAGCACAAATCTTTGATGTTACTGTGAGTATTAAAGTGTGTGTTACATAATATACGTCTCAAGGTTTGCAATTATATGCTAAAATTTATTATAGTAACATTAGTGTCAGTATAGTAACACGATTGTACTGGTAATACGACTCTAATTATAACTTCAATCATACAGTAACATGAATGTTACTATATATTAGCATTCGTGCTACTGAATTTTGTTGGCATTATTCAGTCTCATTATATTTTGCATTATTGTTGTTAAAGAAATTTTGTAATCTGATTTTGACTTAATAAATTAATAATTTATTCGTACATTAAACTTCTCATATATAACTATTAGAATATATAATTTTCATATAAAACTTCCGTTAATTATCATAATATTTAATAATCGGTTTTCATATATAACTCAATCAAGAGTTTCTATATATACTTCACTGATCTAACATATGTGACTTTTAATAATTTGACAAAACTAACACCATTAGAGATAATTTTGAGATTTAAAAAATAAATGGACTTAAGTGCCTACATATAAGTTTAAACATGAATTTACTCCCCAAATAAGTTTCCTTCTGAAACTCAAGTTATTATAAATCTATTTAGGGGGAATCAACCTCAATTTTCACTAAATTTAACACCATTATGTCAGTTAACGGATTGGATCTAAATTAAAATTTGATTGATTTGAATTTGAATTTAATTTTAAAAATTTGATTCAAAAAAATTTATTTTCATAGTTGATATTCGAAGTTGTTAATAATCTGAAATCAGTCTAAAAAAATTTGACCCAATCCGAAACTTATTTTAACTTGAATCTAATAAATTACATCTAAATTTCAACTAAATTTTTTTAGATAGTCACTTAATTTTTTTTAATATATATTAGATCAAATCAAATTTATGTTTATGCAAATTTAAATTCATAAAATATAAGATAACAAATTTAAATTATTAATTAAAAATATTAATTTATATCCAATTAATTAAATTCATATCAAAATCCGAAATAGCTAAATACAGTATAGTCAGCAACTAAAAACCCAACAAAAATATCGCAATCATCATCTAGAGAACTAAAACTCCCACACAAAAAGCCCCGTTGCTTTCCTTCTACTTCTACTACTCCCTTCTGTTAGAACAGAAAGTGAGTCCCACTTTTTGGCGGGACGTGGACCCCACTAATCTAAATTACCATCTCCCACCAGTCTCTTTCTCATAAATACCACAACTTCCCCACCCCACTCACCCCCCACCGTCTTCCACCACTTCAACTACCGTCCTCCGCCACTCTCTTTCTCTCTGCTTCATACAAAAACACCCCCAAACCCTCACTCATAAAAGTATATCAGTTGTTTATATAGATGTCTGATTTTCTCTCTACATTCACTCACTCAGTCTGTCAATTGCTGACGCTCTACTGATCGAGCACCCAGATGTCGAAACCATTTGAATTTGTTGTCTTCTTCCTATGTTTCTACCACATTTTTGCTGTTGCATTTTCTCTCTCCGCCGACGGCCTCTCTCTCCTCTCGCTAAAATCAGCCGTCGACGGTGGTGGCGGCACAGCCTTTGCTGACTGGAATGAGAACGACGCCAGCCCATGTCACTGGACCGGAGTTTCCTGTATGAACATTTCCGGAAATTCAGACCCCCGAGTCGTTGGCATCGCCGTCTCCAGCAAGAATCTTCGGGGATACATTCCGTCGGAGCTTGGGACGCTAGTGTATCTCCGGCGACTCAATCTTCACGGCAACGATTTCTACGGTTCGATTCCCGACCAACTCTTCAACGCTTCTTCACTTCACAGTATATTTCTCTACGGTAATAATCTCTCCGGTTCTCTTCCACCCAGCATTTGTAATCTTCCTCGCCTTCAAAATCTTGATCTTTCCAACAACTCGTTGGCGGGATTGATCCCAAAAGATCTCAGGAATTGCCGGCAGTTGCAGCGGCTTATTCTGGCTGAAAACAAGTTTTCCGGAGAGATTCCGGTTGGAATTTTCCCTGAGTTGGCGAATTTGGTTCAACTTGACCTTTCAGCTAATTCGTTTAACGAGTCGATCCCCGACGACATTGGTGAGCTCAAGTCTTTAACTGGAACTCTCAATCTTTCCTTCAACCATTTCTCGGGAAAGATTCCAAAATCTTTGGGGGATTTGCCACTGACAGTGAGTTTTGATCTTCGAAGCAATAATTTGAGCGGTGAAATTCCTCAAACAGGTTCTTTTGCAAATCAAGGTCCGACAGCTTTTCTTAATAATCCATTGCTCTGTGGATTTCCTTTACAAAAAATTTGCCGGAACAATACGGAGAGTTCACCGGCAAGTCAGGCTCCATCCTCGGATGCTGACAATATGAATCCAAGGAAAGGTCTAAAGCCGGGTTTGATTATATTAATATCGGTGGCTGATGCAATTGGGGTGGCATTTATAGGACTAATTATCGTTTATGTTTATTGGAAGAAAAAGGATTCTCATGGGTGTAGCTGTACTGGGAAAGGGAAATTTGGTGGAAATGAGAAAAGAAAGTTGTGTCCTTTTCCCTGTATTGCTGGGTTAGCTAGTAATGACTCTGAGGTTGAGTCAGAAAAAGGTGGTGGTGGCGGCAGTGGTGGTGGTGGTGATAGTGGCGGAGGTAGTGGTAATGGTGGTGAAGGTGATCTTGTGGCGATTGATAAGGGGTTTAATTTTGAGCTTGATGAGCTGTTGAGAGCTTCAGCATATGTGTTGGGGAAGAGTGGATTGGGGATAGTGTATAAGGTTGTGCTTGGAAATGGTGTGCCGGTGGCAGTGAGGAGGTTAGGGGACGGTGGTGAACAGAGGAATAAGGAATTTGTTGCGGAGATTCAGGCGATCGGAAGGGTAAAGCATCCTAATATTGTCAAGTTGAGAGCTTATTATTGGGCTCCTGATGAGAAGCTTCTCATTAGCGATTTCATTTCCAATGGCAATTTGGCTAATGCTCTTCGTGGTTAGTTCTTCAATTATTGGTCTTTGTCCTCTACATTACTTATTTGTTGATTTGCTGAAGATGTTGTTTGGTGATTTTTATTAGTTTTAGGTTGGATGATTGTGCAATTTGTTCATATTTTCTGTTTTAGCCTCTACATTTTCATTTAGAAAAACTTCTCATGGTGTTGTTAGAGGCATGAAAGACTGGGAAAAAGAGAGAGCGGTGGGGGGGAGGGGGGGTTACAAATTTATTTTTCTTTGATTTATAGCGAATTAGTTTTTAAGTGGACATAACTACTGTCTATGTGCTCTTCAATGGTTTGGAAATAATAAGTCCACACGGTCATTAATGGTCATTTTTTAAGCTCGAATGTGGCTGATTGCATGTTGTTACTGCTATCAATAAGAACCTCAAAATGGGTTCCAATTTGAAGTTACAAGGGGGCAGCATTGGCATTGGACTTTGGCTCCATGAATATAAGTGGGAAGTACAAGAAAAGGGGATGGGGTTGGGCAGATGGCTTATGTAATAAGGCTACAAGTGTGTACTCATGGGACAAGAAGCTAATAATTCAATATTCTAGTAGCATAGGAAGGTACATAACGAACCCACTTTAAAGTTATAAGAATCCACTATCAAAGTACTTAATAAGAGATGGACGTATTTGATTTTATAGCTGATTGGCTATTTAATTTTAATGTAAGACATGATCATGAATTGTGAAAATCAATTTTCTAGTTGGATATCATTACATCAGTTAGGTGCTTTGGCACAGTAGTTATTGTGTACAGGACCCACCAAACTGGCTGGTACCAAATGACTTGAACCACCTTAGCAAGCTCTAGAGTAAGTGCTGAAAGCATTTTAAGATGATGAGCCATCACTCTAATAATGCCGTGGCCCCATGTGTAGCACGTCTCTGCTTAGTGATTCCCTGATACTTTTTATCATGACGAGTGGTATCTGTCATAGTATTGCTAGATCCAAGGTGGTTTTTCTACCATTATGGAAAAAAGTTAACAGCAGTTGTTTTTCTAATTTCAGAACCGTTGCAATAGATTGGTGGGCTTTATTGCCCTTGGTCTTTTTTGCAATGCTATTTCAGAAAACTTAACAAGAGAATGGAATTTTTTACAACGGAGAAATGCTGTCCTCAAAAGCTTTCAGCAACTTAGACCATCATCCCTCCCAGGCTAAGATTCTGCATTCCTTATATGTCCTGTCTAATGTGATGTCCCCCTGGATGATCTTTCCTGGTTACTACTGAATTACACCTGTATCAGATGGACTACTTGTGACCGTGGATTATGGTGAATATTGTTTTACCAATTCCGAAAGGCCTGTGCAGGTTCACTCGAGTCAATTAGAATCAATGCTTGAAAGTTTTGAGCCGAATGTGAAGCTTGTGATGCATGCATATTTGGTATTTCTGATTGGCCCTTCTGGCTAAATATTTTTGATACGCTAAAAGCTCATAAATTTCTTCATCAGATCCCCATACTATTTGATTTGCGTTCAAAGTAGACTTAACTTGCTGACAATGCATACTTTAGTGTTCTCAGATTTTAATGGATTTATGGATATTCAAAATTTTAGCATCATATCATGGTTTATATAGGAAACAACTAGGTAGATCTAGTAGTGGATGTATATGAAAATATCTTCTGAATCTGAATGTCAACTGAAGATGAAATACTCACCGTTCTTTTATCTCATCAATTTATTATGTTAGTTGTCTCTCAAATGCTGCAACTGATGATGCTGATTTTACAGGGAGGACTGGTCAGCCATCATCGAGTCTCTCTTGGTCAACCAGGCTGAAAATTGCAAAAGGAACTGCTCGGGGCTTAGCCTACCTTCACGAATGTAGTCCAAGGAAATTTGTCCATGGAGACATCAAACCGTCCAACATTCTCCTTGACACTGAATTCCAGCCATACATTTCTGATTTTGGCCTCAACCGGCTGATTACCATCACAGGCAACGACCCCTCATCCTCTGGTGGCTTTATTGGTGGAGCCTTCCCCTATTTAAAGTCAGCTCAACCAGAGGGGGCCAACAACCACCGTGCACCTGAAGCTCGGACTCCTGGTAACCGAGCTACCCAAAAATGGGACGTCTACTCTTTTGGGGTTGTCTTACTTGAATTATTAACAGGAAAGTCTCCAGAGCTTTCATCTCCATCGACATCAACTTCCACAGAAGTCCCAGATCTAGTGAGTTGGGTAAGAAAGGGATTTGAAGAGGAAAACCCACTATCAGATATGGTAGACCCGATGTTGCTTCAAGAAGTACATGCCAAGAAGGAAGTACTGGCAGTGTTTCATATAGCCCTTGCGTGCACTGAAGCAGATCCTGAGGTTCGGCCAAGAATGAAAACTGTCTCTGAAAACCTTGAGAAGATTTGAACATAAGAAATAGGCAGCCAATTTTTCTATCAACATAGTAATTGAGGAAGTTCTTTTGTTCCAGATTATGGGTGGGAAAAATGGCACCTTTTCTATCAATGGTGGATTTTGTATGTTCATGCTAGTAATTTTGCTCTGTTTTGGCCTCCTAGAATTTCCTGAAATCTCTCATAAGCAAGTTACAAAGAATTCTCTGGGTGTTTCAGCGGTTTACTTTTTCCTTTCTCGAGCTTTATCTAGTTAAACATTCATTTTTCTTTGGTCACAATAGTCCAGAAGTTGGCTAAATTTGTAATTTATAGTTCTTTCTTAGCCCTTCAGTATGTGTTTGTAATAAGAATACGATCGTATCATTTTCTTCCATTTCCTTTTCATTCTTATATGCAATATTGAAAAGGCTAAAGGTTTTGGTTGGCAATTTGTATAAATGCATATTATGATTGGTTTCAATCCTACTCTTTAAGCCAAAGAAATTTATGCTCCGTTTGGTATAAAAGATAAAAAATATGAATGATGAAAATTAAAAAGAGATACACTTTCTATCCTTTAAAAAAGGAAAATAAAAATCATATATTTTTCTTCTTTTATTTTTGGTTGAATGGATGGAAAATAAAAATGATTTTTTTTTTTTTTGTGTTAGCCAATATTAGGAGTGACAATCGAGTCGTGTCGTATTGTGTTAGATTCGCGTTGATTTATTATGGATTTGCGTCGAATCTTAGTCAAACCTAATTCAATTCATTTAATTAATTATATCGTGTCGAGTTACGAGTTGAGCTGTTTATTTTCGTATCGTGTTCGTATTCGTTTTAATCCACATAAACTTTGAATAAAAAATTTAACGCTAATATTCAATTTTTTTATTTTTATTTTTAAAATTTTTTAATATATATATATATATATATATATATATATTATCATTGTATTTTTATATAAAATTAATGTATATATAATATATGTATACTAGTTATTGTCTGTGCCTGAAGATACAGAGTAATAAAAAATAGTAAACAATAAATATATTTATATTCATATTTAAAATCAAATTGCAAATATAGAGAAAAGATAAATGAATTTAAGAATTAGTTATAGTGGGGGGTGAGAGGTGGTGAGCAACAGTGGTGATGGTGGTAAGAGACGGTGATGGTTGTGGTGGGTGGCAAAGATCATGGTAGCGGTGGTAGTAGTGGTGGTGGTGGTGGTGGTGATGGCGACGACGATGGCTACGGTGGTGGTGGTGGTGGTGGCAGTGGCGGTGGCGGTGGCGGTGGCGATAACGACAACAGGGGCGATGGTTATGGCGATGATAGCGGTGGTGGTGGCGGTGATGGCGGCAGGGGCGGTGGTGGTGGTGGCGACGACAATGAAAGGGGTGGTTGTAAAACCCGGGTAAATTTAAAAATTTTATGAAAAAGGGTAAAATGGTAATTTGTGATTACAGTACGGGTTATAAACCTGAAATTTTCTAGAACTCGGTTGACGAAACGGACCTCATCGTTGGATTTGTCTTACGAAATCTAGTTACCCCATTAAATTTCATCGAATTCTAAGATAGTCAGATTTTTTACGTTTTACGAGACGGTCGAGTCTCGGATGATCCAAAAAACAGGATTTTTAATAAAAATTCGAAAGTTGGAAAATAATTTAAGGCAAATTAAAATAAATTTATTTTAAACTTGAATCAGGAAGAAATTTAACCGTTTCGGGATGAAAACGGACTCGGGAAAAGGAAGGTCGTGTGGCGCGTTGTTGGCCAAGTATTCTAAGGCTATAAATAGGGGAAAATCTGATTTCTTCCCCCATTTTGCTCAGTCGTTACCCAATAGAAAAGAAGAGAGGGAAACTCAAGCTCTCTCCACCTTTTCTGTACGATCTACGGCCCTACGGTGCTCAAATCAACACAGGCCAAGAGCAAAAGTCGATCTCCTCGACAAGGGCTACGCGGCTATACTACAAAGCGCAAATTTTACCGAAAATCAACGAACGGGATTTTTGGGAGCTAGGAATTCTAGCTCGTTTTTGGAGTTTCTTGACGGCTTTTTACGCTTCAAGAGATAGAGTTTCTTCTTACTTAGGTTTATTTACAACCTACGATGCTTATATGAAATGAGTCTATTGATAGGATGTTATATCACTTGCTTATTATAGTGGATTTAATGAAATGAATGGAATGAATTTTACCTTGAATTGAATGTGCAAATTTGACTCAATGTGAGTCATGAAAATTGATGTTATCTAGGCATGTTGTGGGTTTTTATTATGCCTTGTGAATAGAGTGTATTATTGACATAGATATGTAGTAACATGCTTATGATGTATGGTTGAATATAAAAATGTTGATTTATGCTTATAGATGCATCGACATTGTGATGAAATTGATAATTATATGCTTTGGATGTAAATTGTCATGGAATATGTTTATATGTGGTTAATTTTACTTATGTGGCATTGTTTACATATGGACATGACATGAAAATATCAATAGTGTATTATATTGCATTTGCACAGGAGAAACGCATCCATAGCCATGACTGTGGGTGTGTGTGTGCATGGTTGATATCAAACACCAAATAGGTGGATGTTGGTGGGCTCGGGATAGTTGGATTGAAAATTCGACTAAGTCACACGGTGTTATGAATAAAGAAATAGGGTCGGGGTTAGCAAGAAGGGTTAGACTATCCCTCGGGTGAGAGACCAGGTGATTGGAGACACATTCTATTGGTATAAGAGTCCATAAAGTGTGTCGGTGTACGCAAAACTGTTGGTGGAAGTCCATAAATTCTGTGTCGGTTGGGTGCCGTTGGTGTAAGTCCATAAATACCCACCCTAAGAAAGACCCGAAAATTTTTAAAGAGTCATTGGGTGAGTAGTGCCAATGGCGGGGCTGGGAAAACCGATTTTTATACTCATGGCATTTCATGGGAGAAAAGGAGTCAGGAAAAACTCGGGTTAGGTTGAATGATTGAGTCTCATCTCACTTCATGACATGATTTGCTAAGATTTCAACATGAATAATATATTCATGGTTGGGATGTTGTTGGTGGTAAAGTGTTGTATGAACATTCATATGCACTTAGGTTGGAGAATAGTCTCGGTAGAATGAACATTCATATGCACTTAGGTTGGAGAATAGTCTCGGTAGAAAATATTCTACTGGGCGTGGCTCACTCTATACGGAAAAAGCTTTCAGGTGCGGGATACATACCGACGAATGGCTCGCATTCGGGCCCAGTGACGAGGAGAGGCCGACTTGTGGCCTTGAATTCATTTTGTAAAATTATTGTATAAATTTGGTGAAAAATATATTTTGAGCTTGTAATCACATGGAATTAATTGTAATAGAATTTGAATATATAGGGTTTTATGTGAAAAACCTTATTAAACATGTTTTGGATGGTGTTGGAATGGTTTTGAATGAATTGGAAAATGAAAAACAGGTGAAACATACATTTCTGGGCAAAACCTACTAGTGTAGGTTCATAAAAACCTACCTGTAGATCTTGTACGGATAGGTGTTGTCCTAGACAAAACCTACTGGTGGGGATATAAAACCTATCGGTAGAACTTTTTCAGTAAGTAAAACCTACCGGTAAATGGTTAAAACGTACTGGTAGAACTTTTCCAGTGAACAAAACCTATCGGTAGGTCCATAAAAACCTACTGGTAACTTTCCTAAAAATTTGAAATTTTAAGAATGCTTGGCCAGACTTTTGGGCTATGTGTTCTTTGGTTTCAAGGACATAAATGGACAATGAGGGGGTATGAAAAGTGGTACATTAGACCACGATTGAATCAAATGATAAAACATATACGGGTATTTTCGCGGGTTAACGGGTAGTCAATGGTTGAAAAAGGACTCCCAGTTTGAGGGGCGTCACAGCTTGATATCAGAACATAGGTATACGATTTACCTAGGGTTGTTGGGCAGGGGTTTAGACCATTGCATCCATTGTGCATTCATGATTATGTGCTTAAATGATACGTGCTACATGTTATATGATATGTGTTATGTGAATGATATACATGGTAAAATGTATATGAAAAAGTGACACTAAAGTTAGAAAACATAACCTTGGGAGTTGAAAAACAAGGGAATGAAATAGTTCAAGGTGTAAAAGTTTACTAGTGGGTGGCACAAACTCTACTAGGGAGACAGGGAGATAAATCTAAGAGTTCAAAGTTGTTCCCTACTTTGGGATACTAAATTGGTGCTCTATTGCTATCTGACATGTGTGTAGATAGTAGAGGAAGAGGACGCCGAGGTGGTGGGCGGAACACTAATCAACTACCACCAAACTTTGACCATCAAGCCTTCGTAGAGGCTATTGGTACGGCAGATGCTACCATTGCACAGACTAGTGCTGCAACTGCTACCATTGCACAGGTTAGTGCAATTGTGGGACAAGGAGGCTCGAGTAACCTCCAGAGATTCAAGACACATAAGCCTCCGATTTTTAAGGGAGGGGCGGACTCGATGGTAGCCGACCATTGGTTTTGGTAGATTGATACGATTTTAGAGGCAATGCAAATCACTTTCGATGCCACAAAAATAAGGCTACCTGCATTCTAGCTAGAAGGAGAAGCCTAACTGTGGTAGGAGTGGGCAAAAGACTCCAAGAACTTGGAGGAAATGACATGGGGAGAGTTCCAGGAGCTCTTCATGGGTAAATACTTCCCAGCGGCTACTCGGCATGCAAAGGCCCTAGAATTCTTGGATTTGAGGCAAGGGACAATGACAGTGTTGGAATACGTGGCTAAGTTCACTGAGTTAGCCCGTTTTGCTGATGACTACGTGGCCACAGACATGACCAAAGTGAGGAAGTTTGAGGATGGTTTGAAATTGTCCATTCGGGGTAAAATTGTGGGCCACTACCTACAAAACTTGAATTCGATGGTCACCACAGCTATGGTCATTGAGAGAGAAGTTGAGGACGCACAGAACATTTGGGAAGTGGGTGCTAAAGACAAGAAGAATGAGGTTCAATCCTCTTCTTCTAGTTCGAAAAAGAGATAGATGACTTATTCTCCACAGAGACAGGGCCATAGCCATCAAGGCCAAGGCCAAGGTTGATTCTCCCAAGGCAGGAAAACCCCAAGACAACTTATCAGGCCAGTCAACGGACATGTTTCCATTGCCACCAGCGGGATCACATGAAGCGGAATTATCCTCAGAGGCAAGGATCCCAAGGGTAAGGGTCATCTCAGTTCCAATCGTCGATGGGACATGCACAGACATATTTTATTCCTCCCTACCCTACCATGGGCCAGATAAGCTAATACCAGTTTTAGGGTGCTACTCAGGCCCCTACCACTTCACGAGCGGGGACTCCGCAATCAAGCCAGATGGGCCAAGGCATAGGTCGAGGCTGATGACAGGGCATACAGGCCGAAACTTCGGGGACCTAGAGGCGTGTCT